GGTGTAAAAAAACTCAACATCTGGCCATTGGCCTTTAGCAATAAAAATAAGAAGTTTAACGTTACTATTTTACATTTGAAAATGCGGTTTGAAAATAAGGGCAGCGTCCCTGACACCAAACAAGTGTCTATATTATACTGTGTTGAACCACGTGCTCTAGATTAATATGTTTTGGGGAGTAGACATGATTTATAAATATAATATATATTATGTTCGGTGACAGATATATATGCATTTGCACCAGCAAATTTATTTGAATATATTATCTGTTTGAAAAAAAAAAATAAAAACTCAACTGCGAGTTATAAACGACTGTTCACAAGATTCACATAAACGCACTGATTCAATGCAATTGTCTAACGTGACAACACTTATCCGGTCTATTGCAAGATGTGAATTTTCACAGCAAGCAGGTACGAGTAAATTAGTATCAAAGCGAAAGCTCATAATATTATCAATCATGGTACACTGATGGAATAAACAAATTGTCCAATAACAACCCTTTATACAACACAGATGTTGTGTTGGGTGCAAATAGGCAATTAATAATTGACTGCTAATCATATTAACGACTAGCAGTCTTTACTTGTCTTACTCGATAAATAGACTACATATTGACAATTATATTATGATGTGATAAATACTAAAAATTATGAATGTATTGTTGTAAATAAGCGAGATAAGAGTTTCAGCTATACAGGAACCTTTAACTATTCATGTCGTCTGTGCCCTGTGGTTATTTAGGTTTCAGAATTCATCATGACGCTTTTCGTGCATCCGCAGGAATGTAAAGTCAACCTAAACATTTTAGCACTATTATCTTTGTTTTTACGGTACAATTCTACGGGTAAAGAATGTACTGTGCTTGTTTTTTTGTTTTTGTAACATCTGTATTTACCTATACACAATACTCTGCCGCGGTCTGCGTTCATTCGGTGTGATCGAAAAACGTACTTAACGTTAAACCGAATAGTGGTTTAAGTGTAGTATTGTCGACTATAGCTGTTAGGTTTTTCAACATAATAATAATGCGTTTGATTACATCAATGTTTTTGGTTGGCGTTATTTGGGTCCGCGACTCTTCGGCCAAGCAAGCTCACTCCACGGATTCGTTGAACTACGACATGCAGCTGGAGTTCCTCAAGATCGTGGCCGCCCAAGATCGGGTATGGGAACCGGTGTTGCGGCAGCAGACCAAGATCACCGTCGCCCCGCCACATCACACGACCAACATGCCGTTCGCGCTGATCGACGCGGGCGAGGACTTCATAGATCCGTTGAAACTGATCGAACGAGTGCTGGGCAAGTACAACAGCATCGGCAGCTTCGTCAATTACGGCGTGCACGCGGTGAAATGCTCGTTCACGTGCTTGACGTTAAAACACCTGTCCCTGTACGTGTACACCATTCACTTGTTCATCGCCGGCGGTCATCCGACCCAGCTGGTCGCCAGGCAGTTGAAAAAAGCGAAAAACATGCTGAAACTGTTCCTGGACCAAATGGCTTACATCGAGGGCAAGCTCAAGCACATCGTCAACGTGTACTGGCAACTGGTGCAAGTGGAGCACATGCGACTGGAAGACAACGCCCAGCGTTACCCGGACGACTCGACGGCAAAGCTGATGAAGTGTTTCGAAGAGATCCAAGAGGAAATCCAAACGCTGTGCTCGGAATTCAAATGGCCCGAGTACGTCCGAACTCTGGAAGTGGACGTGCCGGCAGTCTTGCTGGAACCCCGCGAGAACGACGCCATGCAGCAACTCGACGCGGAACAAATGCAAACGGTTTTGAAAAAGAGCAGGAAAAAAATCGGCGAGGTTTTCCACAAGTTCAAGCTGAGCACCGGCATCAACGAGAATTGGAATTACATTTTGGACTTTGAGACGCCCATAAAGAAACACATTGAACAATTTCCAACGAAATAAACATAGGTGCTACAAAACAATATAATATTATCGGTTCACAAAATCAAACGGGAAAATATGTTATCATAATAATATACGCTATGTACGAAATAATAATTGCACAATTGTTCTGAATTTTATGAGTATTTTTTTGTTTGTCCTTTTACAGAATACGGTTTTATCGTTTAAGTTAGATTTATAAAAACACAGGCTACTGAGCTGTGTAGGATTATTATTAGGATTATTAGACTATCATAATAGTAACCAAACTGTCAGTAATAGTCAGTAAAATTACTTGGATGGCAAATCATTTTGTGCATACTTTTTTGATTGGTGTATATTTCTTGTGAACTTCTTCGCTGTAAATATAAAGCGAGAGTTCATATTCAGAGGCAAACGGTTACTACAACAGTTAATGAATATTATCATAGAAGACAGCAGGATTGTTGAATATAACAACAGTCTAAATTCATGAAAATACACATACACTTGCACATAAATCTTAAAACCTAGATTTCATAAAAAAAAAACGTGTCTAAGTTGTAAGCCAATTAGTTTTGAGATAATGGTGTATATATATATATACCAATCGAACAGTATATCTGTATATGTTATAATTGAGTGGAAGTAAATCTAAATTCTATACTCGAGTTGAGTACAGTATAAACACGGTCTACTAAGAAATATTGAACACCGTTTGTTGTTCATAATATTATCTAGATCGGTATACTTCATTATTAGACAAATTTAGAATATTTTTTCAATACATTTATGAGATTGATTAATATATTTTTCATGGGATTTTTTTTAGGTCATCAACTTACGTTCAATAATATTTTATAAAACGTCGCACGAGATTATTGTATCTAAGTACACGATGACACATTTTTTTGTTTACCAGATCTGTATTTGTGTTGCGCAAAACAAAAAAACGCCTCTCTCGCTTGTTGTTCTTTGTTTTTCCCGTTGAATTTCAATAGAGAACCGAACGTCTTACCTACGCCGACACACCGCCGTTGAATATAATAATATATTAAATATTGTCGTTGTAAAGAAAACATAACTAACGACATGCTAACGTCCGGGGCGTTGCCGGTGACCGTGGCCCTCTGGTACTACGCCACCAGCTGTTGTCTGGCCATTCCCGTCACCCTGCTCGAAGTCTACCAGAAGAACGTGTCGCTGCTCAAGCACGCCATGGCCGGCGACCAGCACTGGGCGCACGTGTTCCAGGAGAAAATCGTCAAGACCGTCGAGCCGCCGTTCCAGGACACGTACATGAGAGACGAACTGGTGGCCGCGGACGAGCGCGTGATCGACCCGCACTCGGTGGTGGCCAGGATACTGGAGAGCTTCATAAACATCGGTTCGTTCGTCGAGTACGGCGTGCTGGTGCTGAGCACGTCGTTCTGTTGCCTGGCTCTCAAGCACATGTCGTTCCAGGTGTACGTGCTGTACGTGATGATCGCCAAGGGCATGACGCCGGAGGCCGTGTTCACCCAGCTGAACGTGATGACGGCGTCGCCGCTGGTGTTGTTCGTCGACAAGATGGGCGTCATGCACAAGAACAGCGTGGCGCCCGTGATCCGGGTGTACGCCGAGCTGCAGCGGTTGGGCAACACGAAGGTGCCCGCCGACCTGGACGTGTTCCCGCGGGACGCCGCCGGCCGGCTGATGGTCCAGTACAACCTCGTGCAGACCGGCATCCAGTCGACGTGTGCCGTCGGCCACGCCAAAGACTACTTCGGCCGGCTCGGTTTCGACGTGCCCGCGCCGCTGTTGGACAACGCCACCAGCCAGACCGTGTCGCACGACGACCTCAGAGAGCTGCTCTGGGCCAGCCGGACGAAGATGATCGAGATCCACAACAGCTTGGAGCTCAGAGGCATGCACACCATTTTGTGGAATGACATACTGCACTTCGCTCCGGACAACCCTTACTGGAGTAGCATTTAATACCCTCAATGTGTTAACAGCTGTACGGATTGCATATTATTGTCATTTGATTCCTTCACTAACTAATTATTGTTCGGTAAACACGTCCACCAAATCGGTGTTTAAATAAAAATACATAATTATATACTCAAAAAGTAAATTAAATTTAAAAAAATTGTGACTTTATCTATTATCGTGTAAATGAATTGTATTTGTTACTGTTTATCATGATTTATATTTTCGTTTGACCAATAAATATTATTAAAAACTGTGTTGAAATATTGTTACTCAGATGAATGTTCTTATACACGGTAATCCTAATACGGTAACATCTTTCCGATCCCTGGAATAATTAACAGTTAGTTGAATTTATGTCTTTTAAAGTCCATAAATGTTTAACGTATCGTCGTATTAAACCAATCGACATTACTGCCAAAAGGTTTAAAGGTTATTTTTTATTAGTATTACTTTCTAACGAAATTTATATTATGTTGCACTCGGGACCTTCAATGACCACTAGACCAACCGACCAATCCAGGTCCACCTATACCATACTCAGAGGTTATAATAAATAGTATATGAAGAACTTGCATGAATATTGTGTTATTTATACAAACCTTAATAGTACGAGAAGAATATTTTAAAACGAATGATATTATTGCCCGACGAGTAGATAATATAATAATATAGGTATCATGTGAAATGTTGTTAGCTGATGAGTTTGGCTTTAGGCGTTTATGGTTTTATTTAGCATAGTTTACTGAAATGTACCGTGGAACATTAGATTACCAAAAATATTTAACGTACTCATCATTATATAATTTTTAAATGCTATGGCTGAATTGGTAAGTCTCATATATCCGTATTAACGACAATATTATGGTTTTTTTTTTTGGATGTGATTTCAGTAAAGTATATTTTTTCGTTTATATTGTATATGTATGTCAACCGTAGAATAAATTTTACATATTTTTTTTTGTATTTACTTCGCGTTGCATTAGTTGGTGGTGTTTTTTTATTTTATTTTTTGTACAACGACACTATGTATACCGTACTGTTTTGTTTGTTATTTAACGAAACAAACAAACGCCTGTGTTTGTGTAGGCAATGCCGATTGTCTCTGTATTGGTGGTAGATGATGGCATAAACACATTACTCACCGTGCGGCTTCTTAACGCGCTCGCTCGCAGTGTAATCTTATTTGGTTTTTTCGACAATGAAATCGTTTAATTTTCCTTTGCTCGCCGCCGTCGTGTTGCTGGCCGACTGCGGTCTGGCCGGCGTTGCCATTCTGTTCAGCAACCAGCTGAACTTCCTGACGCACGTGATGGAAAACCAAACGCGATGGAAAAACGTGCTGAAGGAACGCGTGAAAGGCTTGCCGGACGTACCACACGGCTGGCACATGATGGACGCTTTGCCGCAAGAAAACGGAGAGGCCGTGGCCGAAGACATTGTGCACGCCATAATCCTTCACCACCGGCAGGTGGGCTCGTTCGTCAACCACGGCGTGGTGGCGCTGAGGATGGCTTTCTCGTGTTACACGCTCAAGAACATGATGTACCAGATCTATCTGATCAACGAGCTCATCGTCCGCGACCTGGACCCGTCCAAAGTGGTCATACACCTGGCCAACCTGAAGCCCGTGATGGTCAAGCTGTGGGACAAGGCGGCGTTCACCGGCGAGACGTCGGAGATCTTCAAGAGCGTCTACTGGGAGGTGTACCGGTTGGAAAACGAGAAGGTGCCGATCAACAGCAATTACCCGAAGGCCAACGGCAACGTGCTGACCGAGCTGTACGACGCGATGCTCGCGCAAGTGCGGCAACACTGTTACCGGGTCAGGCCGATAGAGTTCTTCAGCCAGGTGGGCGTCCGCCCCAACGTGGCCGTGGTCGACGACGTGGAAAAGACCACGGTGAAAGACGGCGAAATCGCCAAAATGGTCGCGGAACACTGTGCGTACATCGACGAGTTTTACACCAACCTGAAAATAGACACCATGAACCTGTTGCTGTGGAACGATATCCTGCACTTCCAACGAGTCTAATACGGTATAGAGGTATAAATATATTCTACATCTATTCTGTGTTGTAAAACAGTGGTGTGATACTGATTTTGAAGTTAACTGTACACCGTTAAACAATGTTAATAACTATAATAATTATCATATAAATAAAATATAAATCGTTCGTTAAACAAACACAAGGCGATTTTTTTTTTACTGGTTTATCGTACGAGACATATTACATTATACTCGGTAGAGTGATTTCACAATTATTGGGTTTGACACGTTAAACGTATGTTCTCACCTTATGGTGAAGTCCGGTACTGACCACCATCGCACCGCTGATGAGGATATCACGCGCATTTGCGTTTACCCTTTTTGAGTGCAGTTTAAGAACTTAAAGTCTGAACCCAAACAAGTAATATTCTGTACAAATATGTTTAAACCACAGATTCGCATCGATTTTCAAAGCGTTTTATATATTATATTTGATACTTGGCTAATACAAACCACATAGTAATCGTGTCGGCCCGACTGCCCTCACGTACCGCGTTGTTTGGCGTTAAAAAAAAAAAAATAAAATCACAAGTAATACTTTACTGTTATCATTGAACAATAATTATTATAACATAAATTATAATGGTTTTCGCATATAAACGATGTGCGTTATGCGATATTTGCGTTTTATCTTTTAACAATAGGAAATCTACAGTGAACACCCTTTGGCCGTGACTGTTAAAATACAAAAAAAATGCGCTAAAAATAATCGTTAAAAAATCATAACCGTATTATATTCAACCCCTTTACCTACGGTTATAATATATAAAAAAAAACAGGCGGTTATTATAATAATATATTATTGTGTACCTATATATATATTGATAGATAGATCGGTATAGATTTTCGAAGAAATATGCAAAATCAGCTATCGTGCATTGTATTTATCGCATATTGTTCATAATATGGGCACATATCTTAATACACATTTAATGACACATGACGTTATTTTGCGCTGAATAATTATTTTTCCGTGACAAAAGGGACGGGCAAAGGGGGGGGGGAAGAGGGTTGTTTTTTTGCATACAACACCTGTTCACGCCCATCGCCAGCCAGCTATACTTTAATATGGACATTAACACGCAGAATGTCGCAAGTCGCATCGCGTCCCCGTTGTCTTCGGATGACTAGACTAGAATTCCTCGCCAGTTCCCAACCGTTTTGGGGCCGAACACAATATAACCCGTTTTTTCCCCGGGACCGGCAACCGGGGAGAGAGCTTGCGGTATCCATTGAAAATAATATTTACAATAAAACCAATGCCGTGTTCGGATTGCGCAAAGGCCCGCAGCAAAACATACATATATATTGTAACATTAACGGGGGGGGGGACCTTATTTGTCTAGACCTCTCTCCCTATCCGCGTTCGATCATAGAGATCCTAGACTAGACTTATACAATGGGCACATTACAAAACGTTTGCACACCATATCACATCACTCAAACTTGTGTACCATGATGTTGTGAAATAATAGTAAACTCATTACACAGATCCCGAGGAGACCCCCCCCCCCCAAAGGACCTATACAAAAGGTAATCTTGTGCTGTGATGAGACGGTACCGTTCACGGCAAAGGTGAGACGAATAAAGTATTATTAGTATTAGTATTTTCTGTGAACTTTGGAGAAAAATTGTCTTTATAAAACTCATATAATATAGGCAACGCGGTGTTTATTAAAAAATCAAAAGCCATATTGTATACCTAATATGAATATAATACAGGGTGAACGCGTTGATAATACATTTTTGATGTCGCAAATAATATCATAGTAATTTGATTACTTTTTTTTTGTATAATGTAATTCACCGTCACGTCTGCAGTGTGATTACCATAGAATTTTACTTGCATGTATATATAAGCGGATCGCGTACCTCATCAATCAAGTGAAACGTCAACATTTTTAATTTTGCCCTTACCGGTCGGTGGTTGGGCGTGTGATGTCGTATCAAGCCGAACGACGAAGCCGAAGGCATACACGATTTAAATTTAAAAGAACAACAACACTCGCTACTCATATTGGTGTAAACGAAATCAATGGAAAATTGTACATATTAACAATAAGTCGGTAAGACTGACAAATATCCGTTTTTATACGGAAAGCTCACCTATATTTTTAGGTAGGTTATATTGGTTAATATTTTTAATTTTTTATTTTTTAAACCCTTCACACGTGGAGGAAAAAAAACCAACCGACTGATGGATTAACGCAAACTGTCACGGTCCTTTCGGTCATCACGGATTTAACACGACTAATCGACAAACCGCATCAGCCACTCGGAAAGGGCTGGGGGGACCTAACCGTGATGGTTACTTTTTTAACGCCTGTTTACACGGTGAGGTCATTTTTTTCAGATAATGTCACATCAATGAATGACTAAGCGTTTACACGGAGGTGTATAATGTATCGAAGTTTTATCCGGCGTTTTTTTACACATCTTCGTGTGAAATAATAATATAAAAAAAAGAAGAAAATACCCGACCGTTGGTGTTTTTTTTTTGTCCCGTTTAGGCTAATCCCCAGAGAGGATAAAAAAAGCGTCCTGCCTAATCATCATTCGTTATCTGCGTGTACAAAGCATAATGACACGTATTTACACAACATTTGTCAGTATTATCGTAAAAAAAAAAAATAAATAAATAGACGCTTTAACTATATTTTTATCCTCTATAAAAATGCGGTAAAAAAAACATATCACATCAGTTTGTATATTAAAAACATTTTATGTATTTCGAATATATTTTATATCATATAGTTGGTAAATTAAAAATCGTATAAACTCCAAACCGGTCAATTTTTCGATTATTATATACTATTACTATGCTACTCCTAAGCGCTAAGGGCTTAAATGATAAAGGTTTTTCTTGTCGCTTTTCTTTAAAACACTATTAGTCTATTGGTGGATGCTTTTCATAGTGTCTATATATTTTCTGCTCCGTAGCAAACTATAAAGGGACCTAATAAGGGTTTTGTATAACTCCCTTCTTATTATGGCTTTTGACAATAGCTATATTTAGTAATATTTCTGTTTATTGTAAATTATTACACAATTTTACATTTCAGAGCGTTGTTAATGTACGCCAATACTTTATATGTTAATGTCGCCATTGTAATTTTGTTATATGTAAGTTAATATATAATGTTGAGCTCATTCTGTCCGTAAATGATTAAATATTTATACAATGCTTGCGTTGTTGTGCGGACAAAAAAAACAGTCGGATAAAAAGCTTTAATGTAGACCATTAGGCACTGTCAATGTTATTCGCAGAGTTTGGTTTGTACATAATGTTTTCCGCATTTTTTTTTTTTTTATTCGTCGGTACACCGGAACTGTCGAAGAAAACTAAAATACCTATATATATATATATATATATATATGTATATATATTTTCCTTTTATATAAAAAAAAAAAAACCGAAATCAATCTCCTTAATGACGGCGGAACGCTTCACGGCGGGATGTTTATGTCTTGTACTTATACCTACAACAAGGCAGCGTATGCTGTCCTTACAATAATAATAATAATAATAAGTAGGTGTATATAATAATATAATATATATATCTGTATATTGACGTTCGCTGGAGAGGGGTGCAGGGGGTGGAGCGTTGCAGATTATTTTGATTATTACGGATATCAGGATTATATATATATATACTAATTTTTTTGCACCAGACGTTTTTTAAATAGACGTTAATGGAACCCTGCGCCGGGAATCGAAATCCTCGAGACCTACCGTTAATTTAAAAAAAAAAATACAAGAGGAAAAAAATGTTCGAACAAAACTTAAGAAAAAAAAAACCCAACACAACACAACGCACAACGTAATCCCTTTTTTTTATAAAACCGTGTTCGAGCCGAAGACGTATTGGTTAATAAGGTCGAACGACGTTTTTTTTTTTCGGGCGAGAAATAGGTAGGTAGGCGGAAGGTAGGGGAAAAATTATTACATCTCGGATGCAAAACCGTGTTTTATTTTAAATTAGAGTAAAGTTTTTTCTACCCTTCTTAGCTGGGGCGAGAGGGGGATGTTTATAAAGTGACACGTTCATTACAAACGTGCCGGCCGGTCTTAGGATGTCAGTTCTCGTCAAAAGGGAAAACCGTACGGTAGGAAATAATACGGTACACAGTAACAAGCGAGGCGAAGAATTCGATTAAATTGTTTTTTAAGTTTTCATTTTGCTCGGTTTGCCGCCAACGTCAAAGCTTTAGCCCCGGGATTACGGTATTTACGGCAAAGGAATTCCCGTGTCTTTCCCAAAAAGCCAGCAGCTAAATCCCTCCGGGCAACAATAAACGGACTGTGACACGGCCGCCTTGAAAAAACTATTTGTTTGATATGTAATTCATTTTTTCCGTTTAATTTTAAACAAAATCAAACCATAAAGTTTATATGTATACAGGCGGTGTGGTAATAAATTATTATAAATGTCTCTCCGTTTGGAAGATATTGCTGCATTGTTGTATAGACTCTTGTAATAATTTAATAGCTACCATATTATTAAACATAAGACAATCACAGCAGCTATGTGTTTTACTCATATGACTTTTTAAGAGTTTTCCATATTATTATTTTACATGTATATTAGTCAATATGTTATTGAAAGTACATTACCACATAGTGTGTGAATTATGAATAGCCTAATAATAAATATGCCAGCCGAGGAATTGAATTGAATATAATTATAATATTATTATTGTACCATAATAATAAATAAGCAGTCATTTCCAACACTAATTGAACGGGTTGACGAGTTGTTTGTGTTCAGTACAATTAATTTGCATAATATAATCTAAGTGCAGCACAATAACTAATAATAATCGCCGTCATTCTAGTATTTAAGGGACTCGCGAGTCAACCCTTGCACGAATCGCACCCCATCAGTCGTACAGCCTATATAAATATATTATAATATGTATATAAGACTCGACGCAGTAGACCTTCCTTATATCAGTGCAGTAGTATTTGTTTCATAATATTATTATTACCGGTAAACTCGGTACTAAACACAACGAAAATCGCTCGTTTTTCGACACAATAATAGAGTATATATTTTGTATGGCTTTTTTAAACCGTACATGATGTTTTTCGTATACT